TTGCACATTTTCATTACAGGATTTCTTATGTTATTTAAGCTTTGCTTTCTTCTCTTTTTATATTAAAATTCTTTTGAGTATTTATTCATAAGAAATGGATATTTGAAAGTTTTCAAAAATGGTATAATATGGAAATTTCTAGGTAATTTTAATGTGTTGCAAACCTAACTTGAAGTTATTGTGTATGACAAGAGTACTTTTGATGGTACAAACACAGACTTTGCAGACCAGTGTCTTTAAATCTCTTACCAATTCATTTTGCAGTAGTCTACAAATAGTCTCCAGTAAGCTGTTGAACAACAGTATATCTTCCTTTCTCTAATACCATATATCTTTCAGTTTTGTGTGTCTTAGAGAAATGTCCATATAAAAGTGTGAAAGACCAGGGGTTGGTGGTGTTGTGTAGGAGGTAAAGCCACCATCTGTGATGAGGGCATCCCACTTGGGTGCCGGTTAGAGTCCCAACTGATGCACTTCCAATCCTGCTCCCTGCTAATGCATCTGGGAAAGAGGGAGGATAGCCCAAGTGCTTAGGCCCCTGCACCTATGTGGGAGACCCAGAAGTTCCTGGCTCACGTCTTCGGCCTGACTTAGCCCCTGCCATTGTGGCCGTTTGGAGAGTGAACCAGCGGATGGAAGACCTCTCTCTCTGTCTCCCCTCGCCCCCCGCGCCTCTCTCTCTCTAACTGTGAATTTCAAATAAATAAAATACATTTTTTTAAGTGAAAGATGCTAATGCAGACACAGAAGAGCATCAGTGATGGTTCAAGTAGTTTGGTTCCAATGCCCAATGTAGGGGGCATGCATTTGAGTTCCTGGTTCCTGTCTTGAGTGTTCCCAATCCTGGTCACTGCAGGCATTTGGGAAAATGAACCAGCAAGTGTGAGAGCTCTCTCTATCTCTCTGCCTCTCAAATAAACATATTGTTGTATAAAGGACCAGTAGTAATGCATTTGAAACATTCTGCAGAATTATTGGAAATCAGTTCAGTTTAAGAAAACGAATACTAAATACAGTCATCAAACAAAGAAAATAGCAATTAGAGTCATAATTTCCATCAACCAAGGTTAGAAACTCAGTGATCAGTGCCCAGGGTCCATCAGAATTAAAAACTAGAACACAGGAAATCTGACGAGAGCTAAACCAAGTTCAAGAGCAGTGAATGTGGGGCCGGCGCTGTGGTGTAGTGGGTAAAGCTGCGGCTTGCAGTGCTGGCATCCCATATGGGTGCCAGTTTGAGTCCCGGGTGCTCCACTTCCCATCCTGCTCTCTGCTATGGCCAGGAAAAGCAGTAGAGATGGCCCTGTACCCCCATGGGAGACCCAGAAGGAGCTCCTGGCTCCTGGCTTCGGATCAGTGTAGCTCTGGCTGTTGCGGCTAACTGGGGAGTGAACCAGCAGATGAAAGACCTCTCTTTCTCTCTTTCTCTCTCTCTCTCTCTCTCTCTCTCTCTCTCTCTTTCTCTGCCTCTTTGCCTCTCTGCCTCTCCCTCTCTCTGTATAACTCTGACTTTCAAATAAGTAAATAAACCTTAAAAAGAAAAAAAAAGAGCAGTGAATGTGAAAAAAGCCCTGGGAATCCACAGCAGAATATTCCTCCAAACAGGTCCCCACTATACAGGCATTAAATAGTTAGCTTATTACCCCAACTAATCTGGGCCAAGATGTGATCTGCACATAAATAGTCTGCTAATTTTTACCCAGGAATTTTAGAGTATTACTGCCTTAGAAAACAAAAAAGATATGTTTGAGAAAAATGTGTAATCTCTACCTAGAGAAAACCTTTGGCAAGTTATTAAGGTTCTGACTAGATATGACCAAGCCATATTGTGTGTTTCTCTCTACCAAAATTGTGTCCTAAAGACACATTTCCTCCATGTATTTCTTTTTTACCTTTTTAATATTATATTTTTACCATTATGTAATATTTGTGATATTTTTACCACAGATGTAATACTTTCCCCACTGTGGGCACAGAAATTGCATTCCTGTGCCAATGAAAATAATTCTCTAACCATTACAGCCATACTATGTAAATAAATGTTTTTACACTGGACCCTTGAGGGAACATTTTTCCTTCTTTTTTGGACATATGTGTTTTTTAAAAATAGTATTTTACAAAAAGTATTAGATTAACAAAAATATACTTAAAATTTATTGTACTAGTGATCTAAAATTATCTTAAATATCAAAGACTTTGGATAGAAATTTAGACCTTTAAGCCATTTTCTTAGAGAACCTCCCTGTCAGTCTCTTTGGATCTTTTTGTTACACTTCTCAGATTCCAAGAAAAGCTTTTTCCAGTCTCTCTCCTGATACTAGCTTTCTGCCAGTATTTTTTGAGCTGAGTAGGAACAGATTGGAATCTCCATGTTAAGTATGTAAATTTTCATTTATTCTTATTTTCATTATGGCTTCCTGTCTGCTAATTGTGCCCAGTGTCTTACAGTCCAGAACCTCTCTTCATGTATGTCTCTAGCTTGATTTGTTGAAACTTCCAGTATGCTGGAGGGTCACTGTCGCTCCCCGTCTTCGTGGAGGAATGACACAGGACCCTGCGCTGTTCTTTTGTCTGCTCGGCCCTCCCCGGGTTTGCTGCTGGTTCTTCCCGGGTTGGCTACCGTCCCTTCCATCTCCGTGGAAGGGCGGTTCCCCCTGCCACTTTCCCCACTTCCGCGGGGGAGCGGCACACCGCCGGCCGGCTCTCTCGGGGGCTGCACAGGTGTTCCTTCAGATAGATGTTCCCCTTAGATGTTCCTGGTGCATAGTGTCTCTCTCCTCCTTTATAGTCCTCTTCCACCAATCCCAACTCTGCTACCCACACGCCGAGTACGCTGCTCTCCTCCAATCAGGAGCAGGTCCTGCTGTTTATTGGTTGAACTGGAGGCAGCTGTGTAGAAGCTGTTTCCTCCTCTCCCAGCGCCATATTGTGGGAGAGCAGATGCATAGAATAAGTCTTAATTCCAGTAACTTAGTCTAGTCTGAGTTGCTCCCCACAGGTCACCTAATCCATTTGCAGGAGAAAGAAGCAGATTTGAATTCTAGCTGCTTAACAGACTTTTGACCAACTTTGTGGTTTTAGATCTTTCATCCCCACTTCTAGAAGTGCATAGTACCTCTTACAGATGGACTTTTTGAGTTTTGATTTATCTGGTCACTTCTTATCAACCCCCACTGCTAGCCAGCAATTTAGATTATTCAAGTCTATTAAGTCAGTTTCCATTTGCCCGTTTATAAGCCTTCTAGCTCCTAAAATTTTGCTGCTACCCTCTTCTAGTTTCATTTTTAAAGCTGTTTTCTGTTGTTTTAACAGAATTTTGTGGAAGGAATACTAATTGTGTATTCAACCTCCAATTTTAAATAGGAAGTCATCCTTGTCTCCATGTCTCTGCATGTACTTTTCCTGCTCAGTAAATCCTCTCATCTGAGGTCCTGGATATCTCACACGAATCCCTCAGCACAGGTGCTCAGATGATAGGTACTCTATATGCCTTGGTCCCTGCCTAGGTAAATTCACCCTCCTCTTGCTACTTCTAGTTCTTACCTCTCTGATCTATTTGTTGGCATGTAAGTTTTACAATTGTTTGATTGCACATCCATCTCCCTTACTAGTAATATATAGTAATTCTAATCAGGTCTAAAAAGTTATTTCACTAATAGAGGTCATTCTTTAATGAAAGATATATTGGTCTTTGGCATATATAACACTTCTTCATTGTGTCATTCATTACATCTATCCCAATGTGTGGTTTAACCAAATAAGGGTATTTAAATTTTAACTAGACTTTACCACCCAGTTGAGTGATCTAGGAAACATAGGTAGAATGTGACTTTAGAGTAGTAAAATGTAGATACAGCCAGAGAGCACTGCAACGAGCTGCACTGTTTTAGTTCAGGCATAACCCATAGAGAGCTTAGCTGTATAATTATGTTCAAAGCAAGAGAACTGCTTTGTGATCTGTGAAAGCGTACATGGTGAGGTAATATAATTAGAACTGGTAGAGTCTCTATGCCTGTGAGGTGTGATACAGAAAACACAGTTTTTATCCTAAACATTTTGCTTTAATTTTGTCTAGTGTATTTGGGATCCACCAATGATTAACATATACAAAGACAATTAAAGAATGCCATGCAATTAGATTTTATTTGTTAACTTTGAAAAATTAAAATTTTTACTTTGAAAAGTTAAAAACATTAAATTACAAATGTATCCACAACACTATTACCATCAATACCATTAGCTGCAAACAGTTACCATGTGCTTCCTTTGTATGAAAGGAATCAATAAGAGATTTCAAAACACTAAGAGTAATGAGGTGGAAGAATTAAATATCAGTTGTTATTCATCTATACCATATAGTGAAAATACAAATGAGAATTCTCTCTCAATTCTTTTGGCAAGTAATTGAGTCAAGCTGGAATCCATATAAGAATCCAGACTTCGATGTCACCAATTGTATCACCAAAATAAGTTATGGTCTATTCTTTTGGGGAAAATTTCAAGAATAGTAATAAGCTGCTCTCTTTTTTTTTATTTGAGAGGTGGAGTTACAGACAGTGAGAGGGAGAGACAGAGAGAGAGGTCTTCCATCCACTGGTTCACTCCCCAAGTGGCCGCAATGGCCAGAGCTGAGCAGATCCAAAGCCAGGAGCCAGGAGCTTCTTCCAGATCTCCCATGTGGCCTGCTTTCTGAGGCCATGGCAGAGAGCTGGATCGGAAGAGGAGCAGCTGGGACTAGAACTGGTGCCCATATCAGATGCTGGCACTTCAGGCCAGGGCTTTAAACCTGCTACATCACAGCGCCGACCCCAGCCGCTATCTTAAAATATTGATATCAGTGGCCTGAAAATTTCACCTCATAAGTAAGCATGGAACAGACAACCTTGGGGTTTTTTTTGTCTGTGAACCTTTTATGTAATGGTTTCCAGAGATGAGTTAAGGCTTAGAATTTGGCAGAATCTGTTTGAGGATTGCTCAAGGATATTTATTACTTGTTTCAGGAACAGCATCTGTTGCAGTTGCAGGTCTCCTTGCAGCTCTTCGAATAACCAAGAACAAACTGTCTGATCAAACAGTGCTATTCCAAGGAGCTGGAGAGGTACTTGCTTTATATAATGCTTTTATTCCCCTAAACCAATGAATATATCATTAGTTTAATTATTTACTAAATCAAGTTTTAAGGTATCCTTTCACATATCTTGTATATTACAACTATAGGCATTATTGAAGATTCCAAAACTAGGTGTTCAGGCATTTTAACTTTTCGTGAGGAGACTTTAGCATAGAGGTACAAGATATTTTTACAGTTTTACATTTATAAGATTACCAAAGCTGGCATCATCCTTTTTAGTGTATATTTAAGATACTGTGCAGAAAAACGTTCATAATGTATGATTATATATGGAAGTCTGTAGGTATTTAACTTGTGTATCTGACTTTTGGTATCCTCTAGTGTCACATACAAAAGCTTTCTTAATTTAGACTCAATGTGTACATATATCACTGTGTTTGAGGATACTTCAAAAAAGTAAATGGAAAACAGAATTAAAAGATAAATTTATTTTCTGTATTGACACTCATGTGTTGTTTTTTCTTAACATCCATTTCCATGAACTTTTTAAAGACCCTGTGTACATCCTTTTAGGGAAAAAAATAGTTTGAATTAGATAAATTAGATGAATTGAGTTTATGGTACATTATAATTGTTCACATGCAAAAGAACCAAAATATTTTAAACTGTGGAAGGAGACTGTAGCAAGACCAAATTATATTGTTTTCTGTTATTACTTTCTATAATTTAGTCATTCTAAAGAAGAAAAGCAGACCACAGTAAAAATAATTCGCCCCTAAAATAGAAATTTAAATGTTAGTTGCATTTGAGCTTCTGATAGGAACATTTCCAAAATCTCTGTAGAAGTTAACAAATAGAAAAATGATTCATGGATATATATTTTAAGAAACTTTAAAATTTATAAAATAATATGAATATTAACCAAAACAACATATTATACTATTGTATATATATTGTGTTTTCATTTTCTTTTTTTTTTTTTTTTTTCAAAATAAAGCAAAAAGCATGAACTAGAACTTAAATGCCAGGATTTAAATACATGAAACTACTTAGATTGTAAATTACAGACTTACTTTCAAATTGAAATGAAAATCAAGGTTAACCAACAGCTCATTAATGTTTGAGTTCTTTATTTCATGGATTATTACATGCTATATTTAATTTTAGTAAATCTCTTTGAATTTCCAAAGGGTTTTTGATGAATGGCATGGGCCAGTTCTTGGTACTCAGCAGGGCAGAAGTGTTCATGGTTGAATGACTCAATCTGGCGCTTAGTTTATCCCTGAAAAGATAATAGAAATTTCAGATTGTAACAAAGTTTGCCAAATACCAAGGGAGCTGATTCCTTTAATCTTGCAAGAAATTTCACAGCACTTTTCTTTATCCAAATCAAGAGAATAAGTAAATACTCGGGAATGCAGATTTTATTTTTGTCAGTTTCATTCTGTTGCCTAATTGGTCAAGTTCCCGTCCAAATGACCAGGCTTAATTCTTCAAATGCAATTAGAGGAGCTTGAACTTAACAATAAAATACAGTCTAAAGAGCAAGGTTGACTAGTTCATTATTTTAAGTTCAGTATTTTCCTTTTGGAGCAAATCTCGATTGTATTAGTAGAATTAAAGATGCTGACAATCAAGATTATCACTGATTTATCTGTGGCTAAATAGCAAATCATATATTAGTGGTTGTGTTGTAGTTAGAAGAGTAAATGATTGTCATTTGTCTTAACCCAAATGTGACAAATATTTGGCCCCAGTATAAATGAATGAAGATATTTCTTTAGCTTAACAGACAGCCGTTTTATAATTCCTTGAGAACAAGGACAAAATGAAGAAAATATAACCCTTGATAAGATACTGTGTGGAATTGAATACTTTTAACATTTTTGTCTTCATGACCTTTTTCTCAGGCTGCCTTAGGGATTGCACATCTGATTGTGATGGCCATGGAAAAAGAAGGCTTACCAAAAGAGAAGGCCATCAAAAAGATATGGCTTGTTGACTCAAAAGGATTAATAGTTAAGGTAAGAATCTCTCAGTTTTAAACGGAAGAGAAATGAGTACGCCATTCTGATGACCATTTCAAATACTACTTCTATTTCAACCCCCCCTTTACAAATGTGTTAAGAATGGCCATTTCATAGGAATATTCATGTCATACAGTAATATTGATTCAACTGACTCAGGAATACATTGTATCTGTGTGATGGGGGTAGGCTCCATACAGTCATGAACTGCTAGTGCTCTTGAATTACTTTAGCTTTCAGCTGAGGCAGTTTGATACTGATACAGATGAAACTCCCAAGTATGGCACCTTTTATTAAGAGCTATCTGTCAGATTGTACACTTTCTAGAAAAGAAGGAAGAAAACGGAGATAGCTATTTTTTTTTTTTACCTGCTAAAAACAAAGTCTTGGGAGTTTGAAAGGAAATTCCTGAAATAAGGACTTGTTTGAATGTTAACATACTTGAACCTCTGTTTGCCTAGCTTTGGTGGAGATAATAGTGCCCAGTTCTTAGGGGTTTTGTGAGAACTAAATTAGAATAGAAATGTGACCATGTCACCAAAAAGTTATATGCCACATGTGCATATCAAAAACTCTTCTTCAAACTGCTAGAAAAAAGGCATACAAATCCCCTTCCTGTGTGAAGATGAATTTTAAGGAGTAACCAGTGATAACCAATGTCTTCTAGAATTTAATGTAGAAATAAATGTGAATGTGTACAAATGCTCTGAAAAGATGTTTTATGTGTATGTAGGGCAATTAAAAGTTTATGCTTCTGAGACAATAGTTTCCATTCTAAGTATCTTTCCTGTAGATGATGCTATGACAGTATTATTTATAATATTGAGAGTTTCTCACACAATAAATATAACAGTGATATGTTACCTAAATAAAGAATAATTATTAAATAAATTGTGGACTTGGCCGGCGCCGCGGCTCACTAGGCTAATCCTCCGCCTAGAGGCGCCGGCACACCGGGTTCTAGTCCTGGTTGGGGCACCAGATTCTGTCCTGGTTGCCCCTCTTCCAGGCCAGCTCTCTGCTGTGGCCAGGGAGTGCAGTGGAGGATGGCCCAGGTACTTGGGCCCTGCACCCCATGGGAGACCAGGAAAAGCACCTGGCTCCTGGCTCCTGCCATCGGATCAGCGCGGTGCGCCGGCCGCAGCGCGCCAGCCACGGCGGCCATTGGAGGGTGAACCAACGGTAAAGGAAGACCTTTCTCTCTGTCTCTCTCTCTCACTGTCCACTCTGCCTGTCAAAAAATAAAAAATAAAAAATAAAAATAAATTGTGGACTAGTCATATGAGTACAGTATTTAGGCTTAAAATTGTTTTCAAAGAACAATAAATGACACACTACAGGATTAATAATATGAATAAAAATCTCTAAAGTGTTATATTATAATTTTATTTAAAAACATAGTTGTATTTAAAAGGTATAGAGGACATATATCAGTACATATTACACATTACTTTAATTGCTTTTAGTGCTGTTTTGTATGTTCCAAATTCTAATTCTATTTATGTTCCTATAAAGCAAGAAAATATTAGTTTTTTAAAAATTATTATTCAGAGATTTTTTGTCTTAAATTTATAATAAATATATATAAAGACAGAGATTTTCATATTTTGATAGAAAATTTTTTATAATTTCTTGGCTTAAAAATTTTTACTTTGAAGAATTAGCAAACTATAAAAATTTATAAACTGTGGTGACATGAGATAGGTTGTAGACATGAAATAAGAACATTTACTAAATTAAACCTGTGAGTCAGGCAATGTTCTAAACTCTGAGGACAAAATAAAGCCTTTGATCTCAGGAAGTTCATAGCATAGTGGGAAAAACTCAAGCCATGTGTTACAGTACTATGTAAAAGTGTTATTGTAGAAATATACTCAAAGTGCCAGGGTATGCAGGAGGTGAAGGTCCTAACTGTATTAAACAGGAGAATGGGAATATTGAGGAAGACCCCAAGACAAGTTTTCTCTTAAGCAAAGTTGATAAGGAAGAGTTAAGAAGTTCATTTGAAGACTCCATAGGTATCATAAACCCCTGTATCCCAAACTGAAACAAGGTATGGTGGGTTGTTCCTTCAGAGATCTTGATTGAAACTAAGGATTGCCTTCCATCTCCTTATATTAAAAAAAAAAAAAATCCTATACAGATAAAGATAATTGAAAATTAATCTTGATGTGAATGAAATGGGAGAGGGAGCAGGAGATGGGAGGGGTGCGAGTGGGAGGGAAATTATGGGGGAGGGGAGCTATCATAATCCATAAACTGTACTTAGGAAATTTATATTTACTAAATAAAAAAATTTTAAAAAATCCTATACAGTGTCTAGTACATACCTGATAATAAATATTAATATAATAATTAATTATCAAATTTCCAGGCAGAGCAAGTAACATGTACAAAAGAAAATATTTTTTATAAGACAGATTTAAGGGTTAGATTTGAAAGGAAGTAGAGGACATGTGACAAAATATTCTGAATCCTGAAGATGAGCAGTTAAGCTTACACAGGGGCTTTGTCTCTTTGTCCTTCTCATGGCATTGTGGTAGATGAAATGAGGGACACTGGGAAAAGGAATTGAGTTGTAAAACTGTTACAGTCGTCCAGATAAAAATTAGCTGGAGCCGAACCCTGGAGTTGTGTAAAAGAAGCTTGATTGGCTAGATATTTGGGAAACAAGATTGGTATACTTAGTAGTTGGTTAAATATGGAAGGAAGAACAGAGAATAGTAGAGAAAGAAGTCTAGCTGGTCTCCTTGGGTATCCAGGTAAGTGCTACAGTCATTAATTTAAAAAAAAAAAAAAAAAAGAATAAAGAACATACTACTTGAACTTATCTTGCTATGTAACTGTGCTTTGGTACCTTCCAACTATATCGCCTCCTTCTACAGTTCCCTTCCTAATCCCTAACATAGTAGGATGATTACAGTTTGCAACATTATATGTTTTATGAAGAACTGGAAAAGAGGATTGAAAACTTCCCAGCATAAAGAAATGATACATGTTTAAGGAGGTAGAAATGGATGAAATGAGGTTCAACTGTTTATTGCAGGAGTGAGGCCTTAATGTGTTAACCTCAATATTTATAAGAAGAGGAGACCAGAAGCCAAAGACTTAGTGGGTTTTCTTTTCCTCTGTCCCCTTTCCCACAAGTCTTTGTTTAGTTCTTTGTTGGTTTTGTTTTTTCCAAAGTATTTTGAAAGAGAACCAGTTTTAGGTGTTCAGATTCAGTTTGTCAGACCTTAAGGAACACACTGCCAAATTTTGGCCAAAGTGTTAATATTTTGGGAAAGCTTTCTATCATTTTGGCATTGAGATATTTATTGTTTATTTATCAGTGACAGAGTTCACTATAAATGATGTTTTTTATAGAAGATAATTATCGGAAGCAGTGCCTTCCATAATTATGACAGTTATACTGTCGATTTTTTTTTTTAATAAAAGTAGCATCTGCTAATAAAACCCAACAGATACTGGAAGTTTTGCCTTCATGATCAACACTATAGTGGGTTTTAGAAAACAGCTGCAATCCCCCCCCAAAAAATTAAAAAGCTAAAGAAAAAATTAAATTTAATTAGGGATAGCTAATCAAGTTAGACTTGTATTTAGCTGACCAGATAAAAATGATAGTTCTCCTGAATATAATGAACTACATTCTAAACCATGTTCTAAATAAATGTCACCTAAAGGCTGTGGGTACTGCTCATGCAGAATTTTATGGCTACATTTATCCAGGATATAGCTTAAATTCCAGTTTTGCAAAATTTCCAGTACCTTTGTCAGAAACCTAACTCACATTATGGGGGGCAGTGTCTTCCATAATGTATAAAGAGCAAGGTAGTTTTTGCCTACCACAGTGTCTGTATCGGAGACAGTGATCTCCATATGTTACCTGTACGTGATTTCCAGGAACAGGGTTTCCCATTGTTTTCTTCATGTAATGACATCTTCAGAGCTTGAAGGTCGTTAGTATCTAACATGTATTCCCAACTCCCTGAAATCCTCTTTTAGTTTTAGTTTCAGAAACATTTTGTGGTCATGAAGCATTTGATGGATAAATTCAGTTGCTATAAAATAAAACTACCTTCAAGATTTTTTTTTTTTTTTATTTAATGTGGGTGTTGTCATCTTTGTTTTCTCCGGGTCTTCTGTTTAGCAGGTTTGTAGCATACATCTATAATGTTTGCTGTTGACAAATGAATTTAACTTTGTCCCTGTATTTGCATGTTAACTCTTATAATCCGAGTTCAGACAAGTTTAAATCCAGAATTGACCTTTTGGCTTACATTGGGGAGCTTCCACAGGAGGAGTGGCGGAGGGGAAGTAAAGGTTATGGGAAAGTAAAGCTTATAAAACGGCCTTTGATCTTGTCTACCTACTCATTAGGATGTGGAGTATATATTAGATGTAGATCTGGACAAATCAGTATGAGGCTGTGTGAAGTCCAGTTATCATTTTAAACCTAAAAGTTCAAAACTACCACCGAAGAAAATGTCCATAAGGTTTCTTAAGATTCTTAAACTTAGTGTCACTTAGCTAAGCTACAATAGACCTAGGTAATGACAGGCTCACTGAATTGTTTCTCTACTCACACTCTCTTTAATCTTCACGTGGTTTGTTGTGGGCCCATATTCAGTGTAAATACATGAGAAGGTCATAGCTGGGATTCCTGGTTTAGGTATCATACAGATAAATGCTTTAAGCAAAGCTCCTTGACTTTAAGGGGTAATATGAATAAGGGGCATGCATTTTACAGCAGTAAATCTTTCCAGAAAACCTGTGTGCTTAGGGTTATTTCCAGTCAGACAGGCCAGTGACAGAGAGGCTCGATAGTCCTTAGGGAGATAAATGTCAACCAGAGACAACCTACTGGTTGTCAGATTCATTTTTTTCTGGTTAAAGATACCATATGCATTTTGAAGATAAAGGATAAATTGAGTGAGCTCCATCATGATTCACTGTTCTAGAACTTGCATGACTTTTTACTGTGTTTACTCTTTGAATGTTCTCAGAATTCTAGACTTGCCAACCAACTGTTCAGCTGTATCTTTGTGACAAGTGACATGCCCTTATAACTGTATATAAACTTGTATGTACAACAATGTGGAGATTCCTTGCCTGATTCAATAAAATGCTAGAATACTGGAAAAAAAAAAAAAAGAGGTAGAAATGGCTGACTACCCTGATTTGATCACTGCATGCTATATACATGTGTCAAGTTATTATACCCTATAAATACAAGCAATTATTATATATGTCAATTTTTAGAAGAACAGACCAGTTTAAGGGAAAGATAATAAGATCCATCAGTACATAGCAAGTTTAAAATGGCTTTGGGGCCAGCACCGCAGCTCACTAGGCTAATCCTCCGCCTTGCGGCGCCGGCACACCGGGTTCTAGTCCTGGTCGGGGCACCGGATTCTGTCCCAGTTGCCCCTCTTCCAAACCAACTCTCTGCTGTGGCCAGGGAGTGCAGTGGAGGATGGCCCAAGTGCTTGGGCCCTGCACCCCATGGGAGACCAGGAGAAGCACCTGGCTCCTGCCATCGGATCAGCGCAGTGCACCAGCCGCGGCGGCTGGAGGGTGAACCAACGGCAAAGGAGGCCCTTTCTCTCTGTCTCTCTCTCTCACTGTCCACTCTGCCTGTCAAAAAATTAATTAATTAATTAATTAAAAAAATGGCTTTGGATCCCTCAGTAGAGCTGGCCCCTCAGTAGTTGGAGATACAGGACTGACACTCAGGATAAGGGTCTTGGTTTGGGGAGATAGAGGTTTGGGGATCATCAGCATGTAAATTGTTGGAGCTAAGGAAGAAGCTATATAAATTGTGTAGACCGCAGGGTTGTAAAACATTCAGGAATCTAAAGGGGAAATTTATGACTATTGTTTTGTTTTATGGTTTGTAATGACATTTTTATGTTGAACCTATATAAAATATACAGATTTTAGCACCTCAAATAATTTTAACATAGATATACTAAGCCAAGACTCTAAATTCCGTGGATTGCAATACTTGGAATAGCTGAAATTGTTGGCTAAACCTAATCAGTCACTCTTACTTCATGAGTCTTTTACTTGCCAAAATAAAGCAGTGCATATATTCTGCTTTCCAAGGTAGAGTTAGATTTTGGAAGGTTGTTATATATATAATAGCTTTGTACTATTTAATATAAAAGAGACTCATCGACTTTCAATTAATCACTTTTTCTCGTATGTTTTTATACATTTTTAAAAATATTTATTTATTATTCAGGGCCGGTGCCGCGGCTCAACAGGCTAATCCTCCGCCTAGCAGCATCGGCACACCAGGTTCTAGTCCTGGTCGGGGCACCGGATTGTGTCCCAGTTACCCCTCTTCCAGGCCAGCTCTCTGCTGTGGCCAAGGGAGTGCAGTGGAGGATGGCCCAAGTGCTTGGGCCCTGTACCCCATGGGA